TCGATTGGGTTAAGGTACGTTTTTACGCGACAGTAAAAGTCATGACTCTGTGTATGACAATGTAAACCAATGTCACGATAACGCGACATCCAGTTTTCACTACGACAAAAGTCATAATATTTAGCGCCATGGCTGTAAAAGTCACGATTTACTGTCACATGAAAACGTACCTTTAGTATACAGCTCGATGATTCCAACGGACCACGGCTCCTTCGCGTCGTTCTTCATCGACTAGAAAATTGTGAGCTCGGGCGCTGTGTGTATCCGTCTGCGACGTCGAGGACCGACGACGGTCACATCGATCGATCAAACATCCCCCGAGGCGGCTGGTGCCTGTCGTCTCACCCCCTCGGAAAAGCTTGATTTCCATCGGGTACGTAGGACAATCTTGCACGCGAGGATACACGTCGTTGGGCGTGAGGGATCCGTCCGTATCGGGGCGTCGATCGAGACGATCTTCTATTTCGAACCCCATCGTTAATTCACCGGTGCTCGAACGATTACGAAACTCCGAGATCGGGTTAACATACTCTCGACGCGTTTGTACGACAGTGCTTCGGAGGATTCGAAGTGTTTGACGTCGGTCGTTTCGAAGTTTCGAGGGCAGTGGATCGTTTCTGATCGGATAAGGTTGGTTTGTCTGAAAGAAGTATGTATACGTTCTAAATACATTTGAGGGGATTAAACAGGAAATGGTACCTAGGGTAGATTTATGTGTACGTGTAGTCACCGATTGCATTGTAAATCGGCCATATTTTCCAACGACCTGCTCTATACGGGTGTCCCAAAGAAAGGAGGGAACGCTGTTCCGATTCAATGATTTCGTCGATCCGTCGTTAACTGCGCGCTGATACTTCAGATCGAGAGAGAGAGGGGGGGGGAGACGGTAGGGTTCCGTTAACTGGAAAATACGAGCCAATAATGGAGACTCGAGATCCCCGAGGCTTTCACGAGTCGCTTCTTTTTCTCCTTCTGCCTGATATATGTATACTCGACCGGGACCTCTGGGATTGAGACATGTTCCAGTCTGAACAGACGGTACACACCGGTTTTTAGATTGTCTCTGCACACATAGTACTGTTTCTAGTATTTTAGTGTGCCATTAGTGTTCTTCTCGTACTGCTACGTAGGTACATTCGATCCAAGAAGCTTTCCACGCACTCAATTGCTGTCGTTCTCCTTCGAGCGAGCGTTGCTGTTACAATGGTAATTTATTCTTTTCATTTAGTCCGCTCTGTTTGCTCGATTCTACGCGGGCTGTGCTTACCCCCTTGCTGTGATCTCCCGGATGTTCTCAGGGCTCCTCCCTGGGCTGATCAAATACAGAAACGAAAGTCTGTTATAATTGACCCCTCTAAAAAACGAAATTCCATAGAATGTTATCGCTGGACGTCCCTGGCATATTGCGTCTGGAGAAGCCACGGAAGATCTGAAGACAGGCTTCTGTTCCAGTTTTAGGTTATGTGTATCATCGTGAAACGATATTGACGTTGGATATGCAGGAATTAGAGATGTTCGATTCATTGAAAAAAATCGGTTCTCGATTTTTATAGTCGATACGCAGAAAAATCGAGCAGCAGAGAATCGATTCGAAAGATCGATCCTTTAACCAAAAGAATCGATCTTCCGAGGAATTGAATCGGAATCGAACATCCCTAACAGTAATCACTCGATCGTTGTAAATATTGTAGACATTATACTTTCTCACCGATCTAATCTAATGGAATATATCTCGAAGGATGTTGCATACGCCGTCATGACGGGGAGGTATGAATTCTTTCATTAAAGGCGACGCGCGGCTTTTTAATGCGACGTCGAGATCATCCACGTAAGCCCTCGTGTGTATACACTGGCCGCGTGGGCGTGTGCCATGGATCACGCGACCCTCGTTTGCAATCAGCCCTTTGACACACGACCAAACGAAGCCCACGCGTCTCTTGAAAGGATCACCTCCCGGCGACGACGGAGAAAACAGATTCTTTCAGATCGACCCGGGGGCTCCATTCAAGGGGGCCTTTTAAACTTTAAACTGACCCGTTGGCGAAACGAGGATCAACCGGTTCCTTCCACCTCGTTCCGCTGATCGTGTCCGTTGGATTAAAGTTTGACTCGCTTTGGGTCCTTGTGTGCTACTTCCTAAACGTAGAACGAATCCTTCTCACACCTTGATATGTCTGCACAGTGATTTTGAGGTAGATTCTTTTTACTGTTCAGTGCTTTTATGCTTTTTCCCTTTTTCCCTTTTTTTGTCAGTGAAATGCGAGGTACGAAGAGATTCTGCAGTAGTGATGGTGATACATTTGAATTGTATCGATGTTTAGTATCGATACACATGTATATCGGGAATGAAATATGGGTATTATCGATATCGATACTTGTAATTAAATTAGAAGTAATACAATCGAAAAATGAAAATAAAATCATTTATTTAAGTAGATATTTATTAAGGCAGATTATCAGGTGACAATGTGGAAAAACATCGACCAATAGTAAATTTTATGGAAATCTCGCGATTGGTCCATTCTCCTTACGACTTGTTACGTTACGACAAATGCAGCGATTCGATCGAAATTTGGATTTTTCTGGGTTAAGTATCGATATTCGAAATATCGATACTGTATCGCCCGTCACTATTCTACAGTGTCCCATTTGAAATTCGTACCAGTTAAGTGGATTCGGTGAATCGTTCGCTCGTTTCCAAGCGAACACACCGTGGTACCGGAACGTCGACGATGCTCAAAACGGCAATCCAGTTTGTCATTGACTAATTCGATTCATTGCATTAGCGTATACATACATATAATATTGGTTGACGCGGCACACTGTGCCCGCTAATCGCGGCGCATTACTTCATCGGTCGAGCCAGAGAGCACGGGCAAAGGACGTCTGTTTTCAGCGATGACGGCATCCCTCGGCTTGTCCGAACTTCGAACACAAACGGTCTACGAATTCCGCGGATTCCAGCGCGATATCTGCTAAATAATCCAACCTAGAACTGATCTTCGAATCGATCGTATCGAACAAGGTAATTCACGAACCAGGTATAATAACACCTTTTCGAATCTGCTGGACATCATCGACCACGCGTCGATTAACCTGATTGTATTACATTTCCGTTTGTTTTTTTCCCAATTGCAGCGTTACACAACACGCACACGACCGTAGCAGATTTATGTAATTACTGTTTTGTCGTGGAGGACCGGTTCCGGGGACCGTGGTAACGAGATATTCGTATCCAACGTTAAACCGTGATTTCCGTTGCAACCGATATACGCTGGAATTCTCTGTCTCTTTGTGTCTTCTCCGAGCCGTGACTCACGCGCCCTCCCTCGGCTTCTCCGCGTACTTACATATCGCGAAAAACATCGAAATCTCAAACGGACGGGACTTTTTTTCCCAGTCGCGACGCCTGTTCCCTCGTACGACGATGCTCTCTCTGCTAATGGTGTTTGAACAGCATCCCGCGAGCTCGCGCGCACGGCTTTGATTCCGCGCAATTGAGGTTGAATTACTGTTTGCACGGGTGTGGTTGCATAAGGCTTGTGTCCTGTACCCCGGTGCTACCTCGTTGGACAGACCCGATTCGAATACAGTCGTCGTTGCGTGTCGGTCAGGGTTTCGTCGTTTATCCTGTAATTTCTCATTCCGGTCGATCTCCGGAAATCAGCTCGATCGTTCGAGAACACGTATTTTTTTCTTTATTCGTCGTCTTTGTCGTGCTTTTATATCGCGATCTGGGCCGTATTATTAATAGCAGCGTCTCTTGTCTAATAATACCTGGCCACGATATTTTCAGCCCCGGCTGTGTAATAAATAATCGGCGCTTCATTGACTCCACGGTATCGAGACAGTGCAACCGGTGTGCAAGCGTACGCGCGCGCACGTGTGTACACGTTCATTCTTGTCTCTCGAAGAAGGGCCATCGACCTGCGGTAAATGCACACAGACACGCGAGCTTGCATTCTACACGTAACTGGCAACCTGTCCACCAAACTCTTACGAAATCGCTCGCCATGCTGTTTTCCGTATTATTCCTTTGGCTGTCGTACAGAGGGTCTCTTGGACATGGTATTGTGTGCCTAGCGCGTCCATGTCGCGATTATGTCTAACACGCGTGTCGTGATAGATCGAGTACAACGGGTGAAACTTGATCAAGATTCTTATGACTATTCAGGGGGACTTTAGACCCTATGGGTAGCTCTCGAAAGAATACTTAGACCCTTCTTGAAATGACCCTTGAAGGACCATCTTGAATCCTTAGCAGATAGTTCTTGAAGGGACATCCGGATCCGCTAGTTTTTTCTTGGAGGGTCACAGAGGCTCTTTAGCTAGCTCGACCTTGAAATACTATAGTAACCTTCAGGATGAACGGATCACTTGGAACTTCTAACTAGTTCTTGAAGGGCTACCAAGGTCCTCTGATTAGTCTTTGAAGAAAACAAGATTGAACGTCGAATTTGAAGTATTCCTTAAAGACTTCGAATTGCGATACTTTTTCTATAAAAAGTAAAGGTGGATTATGCAACTTCATGTGTTGCCTAGACTATCGGTTACCTTGTAGGCTATCGATATTTATTTTTAACTCTCTTCTGAACTATAATTTTATACCACAGGCGATATTAATAGAACTCCTGTTTACCGTAAGATAATTCGCGGGTATTTGAATTATTTTATATCGGTATACTTGTTTTATGACTGTGTCGATGATCAGGGTCGAAGTATTTTCTGGATAGTCCTCTTTCATTCTTAATTAGATAGGAAACTACAGTGTTCTATGGAGGGCACCCGTAACACCAAGAGCCCCAGCAAATATTGATTATTTCTCTACATGGCACCCTCTGGTCTAGACAAGATCTATACTCGAACATGGTGAACGGTGGGCACACGCGATTTTTCCTCGGATGTGGCAACGGTCAAATCATTCAGAAAGCAAATTCATTAACACCCGGATTAAAAAACGAATTTATTTTACTGTCTCATAGTTACGATCTTCGTTTCAGTACAAGGCTGAAATATGCCAGAGGAAAAGAAATCCGCTGGTGGTCCACCGGAAGTAACGGCAGAAAATGGGACCGGAACGAACTCGCCCACGAAAAGTCCAGTTAGCAAAGGCAAATTAGCCGTGGCTAAGATCACTCTTCTCGATGGAACTGTCAAAGACTTCCACATCGATGTAAGTTACCACTACTACTGTTTTCCCGTGTAACATATATATATATATATGATATTAATGTAAACATACTTTTACACAGAGAAAAGTGAAAGGCCAGGATCTGCTCGATATGATTTGTCAGAGCATGAATCTTCTGGAGAAGGATTACTTTGGCCTTATTTACGAAGACAGACACGACCCACGAAACTGGTTGGATCTCGACAAGAGGATCGCGAAATTTATAAAAAGTACGGAGACACCGCGTCTTTGTAGAATCTACGTGTTGTTCGTATTATAAATATTCTTTTCGTTCCCAGACGAACCATGGAAATTCAATTTCGAGGTGAAATTTTATCCGCCGGACCCGGCCCAATTACAAGAGGACATCACTCGCTATCAGCTATGTCTTCAGATTAGAAACGATATTATCACGGGGCGATTGCCCTGTTCGTTTGTCACTCACGCTCTGTTAGGCTCCTATTTAGTACAATCAGAGGTTGGAGATTACGATCACGACGAGCATGGGCGTACTTATTTGAAAGATTTCAAGTTCGCCCCGAATCAGACGCCGGAACTGGTTGAAAAAGTGATGGACCTGCATAAAACGCATAAGTCAGTCTCAGCTGTTAAATCATATTGCTTTCGCAAGAATTTAAATGGTAAATTAACGTTTATGAATTTTTAGAGGTCAAACGCCTGCCGAGGCGGAGCTCCACTATCTCGAGAATGCGAAAAAGCTGGCAATGTATGGCGTCGATCTTCATCCCGCTAAAGATTCCGAAGGTGTCGATATTATGCTAGGTGTATGCTCGTCAGGTCTGCTCGTTTATAGGGATCGATTGCGAATCAACAGGTTCGCTTGGCCGAAGATCCTGAAGATTTCGTACAAGAGGCATAACTTTTATATAAAAATCAGACCAGGCGAATTCGAGCAATTCGAATCAACGATCGGTTTCAAATTGGCGAATCACAGGGCGGCGAAAAAGTTATGGAAGGTTTGCGTCGAACATCATACTTTCTTCAGGTGAACAATGATACTGATACAATGATTGCTGAGTTATGGAGCGGATTTTGTAAATAAAGATATCGTTGAATATGTTTCTAGGCTCATGAGTCCAGAGCCTGTGAAGAAAGTAGGTTTGATACCTCATTTGGGTTCCCGCTTCCGGTACTCTGGAAGGACCCATTATGAGACAAAAAAGACTCCCATCGATAGGCAACCCCCGCAGTTTGAAAGATCTTTGAGCGGTCGTCGTCCAACGTCTCGCAGTATGGATGGTAAAAATAGTTTTGTCCTTCGTAAATTCCATTTTACTATATATTATACCGATGGTGGACTGGCGTGCAATGTCGTTTGAATGTTTTACGATGACAGTATTAGCTTATATTAAGAGTTTGATGCAGTGTGACTGTCTTACACAGCGTTAGGTGGACCTAAGCAAGTTGAAAGTTATGGCTCTGAACCAAGCAAGAGGCATACAATGAGCTATGAACCTGAAATGATTCCTGATATGGAGCACATAGATCAACGGCCTAGTCCAATTAAAAAACAGAAGGAAAAGGTATGAAAACTGTATAATCCTTTCTATTCTTATGTTCATTCGATATAGCAATAGTTCGTAGAAAGTGCATGAATTGTTCATGCAGATTGAAAAATTATTATCGTGGAGATTCACCTTATGAAAGTTCTGATTTTACTTGCGGTCTACGCTTTCAAACGAAACTGGCTGTTAAAAAGTTCCGTCGTACTAAAAATACAACTAATTATTCGATCATAAGTAATCATCTGACAGCGGAAAATTTGAGAATATCATTAAAATGGCAACTATACATCATAAAACTGAGAAATTGTGGAACACCAATTGGATCACTTTAGCGAAAAGGAGATTTTATGAAAGTTACAGATAGGTCACAGTGCACTTTTTCAGATTAAACATGTGGATGATACATGTAGTCATGGCATGTTAATGATTTAATGTATACCATGTATTAGACATGGTCGTATGCATTAGATATTTTATTACATCCGTTTTAAAGTTCTTGAAAGAAGTAAAGTGCAAGTTAATTAACATTAGGCGTAAACTTATACCATAGAAGATTCAAGCCATTCATATAGAAATCAATAAATTGATACACTGTCTGACGTGCATTCTGTAAAATATTCAGTTAATTAACTTGTATAAATTCATGGCAATTTGAAGTGTCCCAATGCAAGAAACGTAGAAAATTTTGTAGATATTTTTTACGAGACACGTTGTCTTTTATTCATTATTGTCAGAACCTAAATACATGACATTTTGTACCTAATCGATTTAATTTCACAAATTTGAATTCAATTATCACGTCCTAGTGGTTCTACTATAAAAAGAAAACTAACCGACACCTAACTAACACCGGTAGCTCACACGCAAAACAAGCGCTGGAACAACATCAGCTAGCAGTACCAGTAGCCTGGAAGGAGAATACGATGCAGATCGTGGCAAAAAGGTATAGAATTTCACCTGGGACATACTATCATGCATTAACCAACACAATATACTCTCCTCCATTGGTCTTGATGTATGTGACCATTTGGTGTTTTCTTTCTTTTCCCTTTGATGCATGCTGCTATTTTTTTTCTCTTCATTTTTTGGCAAGCATTTTATACGGCCATCGCCTCAAAGCTGAATTTTGTCCATGTTACCCGACGTCTAACGGATGGTAACGTCACGCAAGCATGTGCAAAAAACAAATACGCAAACATTTCCGCAAATTGTGTTAGGAATTTTTATAGAATGAAACGTTCGAATTTCACCGCACCGATGCTTCTGTTTCGCATGTAAATAATCGACATTATGTCACAAGGAGTATCGGAAGAAAAAAAATTTCACGATATCCGTCACTCCGAGTAAATACACCAGGAAAGTATGTGTGTTCATCATAATATTAACAAATCGACGATTATACATTTTGAGAGCGCAGACCGTACCTTAGTTGTCAAGCATGAAATTATATATCTATATATATATATATATATGCCAAGAAAACTGTGAAAACATATGTAGTTGATAATAGCTGTGGGGAAATTCGGCGTTAGGGTGAAATAATCCACACATATACGTTCGTAAATCGTTTATTACGCTTTTGTCTAAGATCGCTCGGAACGTTGTTGCTCGTGCAACACTTGAGGCCTGACTGCCCTTTTTGTGTGTCCTCGGGACGGCTTTTCAAGAGGGCCGTCGTCTGATGCATCGAACGAGAACGTTCTCGATTATTCGACAATGTATACAGACGACGGTCCTCGCCGTTCCGAGAACTTTCGCCCGAGCAGCCGAAGTGTGTCTTGTCGCAACGCGCTGATCAGCACGTCGTCTATGAGGCGGCGCGTTTGTTCACGTGCCGCCACAATAGCTTAGCCGATAGAGTATTTATTTGTGCTTATTGCATGAAGCGATGTGTGATTATAAATTTACTTATAGAAACCGGTCGGAGGAATCGCGGTCCTACCGCCCGGTGGTCTATCTAAGAAGAAAAAGGATAAGCAAAACGAAAACGAAAAGGAGAATCATAATGATCTCAACAATTCTGAACTGATAAACGAGAGTGTTATCCTTGACAGCAACGACGTAAAGTCGCCCAGTAAAAAAGAATTGAAAAAGAAAGATAAGGAAACACCAGAGAAAAGAGATAAAGAAAAGAAAGAGAAAGTGAAGGTAAGTTGTTTCTTCAGCTTTTCGATGTTGCCACAGCGTTTTATAGATAGTCGAAGAAACTTAGTCACATTTGTCCACGAAAGGATGTTCATTCATGAAATTAATTTCAATTCGATTTTTACATATTTCAAATAGTTACATCTGTGTAATGTTTTTCATACGCATTCCACGTTCTAAGTATATTATACGCATTTATATTATAGACCCAGAATACAGACATGCACGGTTGTTAGTTTATGTAAGACAAAGAATAGCGACGCATCAATACGTAGTTTTTCTTAGTTTCGTTAGTTTCTTCTTTGATGTATTTACAAACGAACATATTAGACATATTGGCATGTTTCTGGCATTGCATGTTTTTGTTTATCATGAAAGAGTCCCGTCGGTGTCTTCCTACTTGGCAAAAAGGAAAAGGATTCGAAGCAGAAGAAGCAAAAGAAGAATAAGGAACTGGAGGAATCACTGGAAAAGAGCGATACGGAATCGAACCTGTCTACCTTGGAAAAACAAGCGAAACCATTAACCGAAACATCGAATATCGAAAAAACGAAAACCACTCCAGAGTCTCCGCAGCTCCCGAGCTACACGAAACCTTACGACTACGAAGAAACAGAAACTTCTCCGACAAAGAAACGTTTTACGCCACATGGATTTTCGTACGAGGATAGGCCAGCATCGCCAGGAGTACAGAATCAACAGTCGCCGACCGGTGCAAGCCGTAAAGCTACAGGTTTAGCGTTCAATTATGCCCCGGGCGAGGAGAAAAAAGTTGCGGAATCAGCAGAAAAGAGGAAAACCAAAGATGCAGATGCTAGTAAGCCACCAGCCGGATTAAAGACCCCGGGACTGAATTACGTGGAATCTGCAGGCTTAAAAGAACAACAGAAAGCGGTCGTGCAACCAGAAGTTGATAAAAACGCGTCAGCAGCTCTTATCGCTGCTGAGCAACAACAACAACTTACTGATTCCGAAGCTGGTACTGTTCTACCATCAGCAACAGAACCTAAACCAGAATATCATATTTTGCCGTTGCCAGATGGATCGAAAGTTATCGGAGGCGTTATTTATACCAAAGACGGTAAACCATTGGATCAACATAATTTAGGTCCAGAAAATAGCAAGGTAATAAATGGGAAAGTCTGTACGAAAGATGGATATCCGATTAAGAAAGCAGATTTTGGCCCCCATGGACTTTATGTCAATAACGGCGTGGTTATTGCTAAAGATGGTAAATCCGTGAACCAACAAACATTAGGCGTCGATAGAAATTTCATAAAGGATGGCATTATATATGGTCGCGATGGACAAATAGCCGATCAGGATTTATTGGGACCGGATCACACACTAGTCAAAGAAGGTAAAATAGTGATGAAAAATGGGAAAACAGTACAGCACAGCAAATTGGGCAGCGATGGAACGTATGTAAAGGATGGACTTATATTTTCGGCAGATTCGAAACCACTTACACAGGGTTCGTATGGTATAGACGGAAATTATATTGTTGGTGGGACAGTGTTCGATAAAAGTGGTAAACCGTTAAATCAAAGTGCAATCATACCCGATAAAACTTACGTTAACGATGGTTTAATTTGTGGACCATCAGGAAACACTGTTAACAGTGGTACATTGGGTCACGATGGCCACTATATAGCAGACGGAAAAGTTTATTCGAAAGATGGTAAACCGGTGAAGCACGAATCTTTCAGTTCAGATGGATCTGTTATAAAGGATGGTATAATTTATTCAAAGGACGGAAAGTTTTTGAGTCAAGGCTCTTTGCTTCCTTGTGGTGCTCATTTGAAGGATGGGAAAGTCGTTAGTAAAGACGGGAAAGCACTTAAACATGCATTCTACAAGCCTGATGGAAGCTTTATTAAAGATGGTATCATACATGGCAAAGATGGTAGACCTTTAAGTCAGATTCCTCTAATAGCCGATGGAAGCTATATCAAGGAAGGCATTGTATATAGTGCTGATGGTAAACCGTTATCACAAAATCTGTTCAAACCCGATGATACCGTAGTTAAAGATGGCATAATTTATGATGCAAACGGAGCGACCTTGACGGACACTTTCCTTGGGCCGGATGGAATGTCGATAAAGAATGGAAGTTTAATCGGAAGGGATGGTAAACCCGTGAAGCAAGAATCTTTCGGTTCGAATGGAAGTTACATAAAAAAATGTATTGAAAGGACGGGAAGATATTGAAATTTTCGTTCTTCAGACCAGACGGAAGTTATATCAAGGACGGTATTGTGTATGGTGTTGATGGGAAACCGTTGAATCTATGCTCGGTTCTTTCGGAGGACAGTTACGTTGCGAATGGAGTAATCTTCGATTCGAGTGGTATGCCTCTGAACAAAGGTATGTTTGGATCTGATGGTTCGTACGTTGCTGGTGGTATGGTTCACGGGAAAGATGGCCGAATAATTTCGGACGGTGTGTTTGGACCCGATGGTAACATTATTAAAAACGGTCTGATCATTGGTAGAGATGGAAAACCATTAACTCAGGATGATAAAGGACCAACTAAGTTAGGGGTAAAAGACGGAAAAATTGTTGATAATCAAGGAAATCCCACGAATTTAGCGTCGATTGTTCCAGACGGCTGTTACATTCTTGATGGTGTAGTTTACGACAAAAACCAGTGTCCTTTGAAACAAGGGGCATTCAAACCCGATGGTAGTTATATCCGAGAAGGTCTTGTATATGGATGGGGTGGTCAGATGTTAAATGTTGGTTCACCGCTGCCTAGCGGATGTTACGTCGAAGAAGGTAGAATTTACGGGAAAGACAAACAGCCTTTGAATCACAGTTCATTTGGTACTGACGGTGGATACATTGCTAACGGTTACATTTATGGTAAAGACAAAAAACCACTTAGTCATGGAACATTTGGACACGATGGTAGTTACATAAAAAATGGTCTGTTGTATGAAGGAAATGGGAAACCATTGTACAAAAGACAAACAGTAATTACTGTTACATCTGTGCGGTATGGATTGGTGTGTGGTAACGATGGTAAACCATTGAAATATGGTAACTTCGATTTCAACGGCAGTGTCGTTAAAGATGGAAGAATTTATGATCATACGGGACAACCTCTAAATCAAGCTTCCTACAAAAACGATGGAAGCTCCATCAAAGATGGCCTCATTTGTGGAAGCAATGGAAAACCAGCGTCTCAAGGAGTATTACCCTCGGAAACTATTTTCATTAGAAATGGAAAGATATACGACACAAATGGACATCCACTTACTCAAGAAGCGTTTGGTCCTGAAGGCTTAAAAGTAGTGCAGGGAGTCGTGGTAGATAAGACTGGTAAACCCTTGAAGCAAGGAAACTTTGATTCCGAAGGCAACATTATTAAAGAGGGTGTTGTTTGTACACCAACAGGCAAACCTCTTGATAAATATTACACGGTGATTACCGTCAGTTTAGTGCGTAAGGGTTTGCTGTGCAACCAAGATGGGAAACCAGTTAAACAAGCTCCATTCTCGAACGATGGTACCTATGTTAAGGATGGCAAGATTCATGACAAATTTGGAAAACTATTGAATCAGGAAATCTTTGGGGAAGAGGGTGCGTTTGTAAAGGATGGTATGATATATGCCAGCTCTGGACAGCCATTGGACAGTGATTCTATTTTGAAGGAAGTACAAGATACCACGAAGCTTGTCTCCTCGAAAGCCAAGAAACCTGTACCTCCAAGCACTACTCCAACTATCGTTAAGACTACAACTAAGCAGTCAGTAGTGAAAGATCAAGAAGGCCTGACACAAAATATAGAAGAGAAAATTGAGGACCTTACACCTGGAGGCACAGGCCAAGTAATGGTTTCTACACAGATTAACAAGGTGATAACAATATTAAAGATAATATGAAATATTATATATAACTAATCACTTCACTAATTACAGAAGGTAAACGGAACACTTTTAACAAAACCATTTGGTTCATTTTAATTTCGAACAAAGAAAAGAGAGATCGCATTAAGTTAATATTTTAACAGAATTAATTTATAATTCTTATTTCATATCAAAATACTGGTGCACATTTAAAGAATTTTATTTTTGATTCGAAGTTATTATTTTACAATACTTAAATACATATAGAGATATTGAGTAATATTAATTGTAGTGTATTCATTAGTTCGATGATATGGTATTGTCTGTATTGCAATGTGAACTTTAGTAGTAGTATATTTGTGTGCTGCATGCAGTAAATGTGTATTATTGATACAAATTGTAAATCAAACGTTTTCTTGTAAATAATTCGTGATTATCTTGAAACCAGTGCATAAGGACGAACAAAAGATAAATTTATTGACACTTTTATACTTTATAATCTTATATGCACACATACTGTTCCGTTATTATAAGACATTAGTCACCTTGTAGTTGTATTTAGGCAGAGGCACCAGACGATGGTAGAACTCCGTACATGACAGCAACTGCTGTTACCACACGCACTGCTACAATGCACGAGGACCTTGAAAAGAATCAAAAGACCAGTCAGGTTTGTAAATTATTTACATGCTAATATACTTTTAGCTTTTTCCGTCATACTCTGTTTACTTATCGTTTATTCAGTACACATTTTGATAACTTTTATACAGTATATACGATATTTTAGTATAAAGCTGGTACAATTTTTTTTATAAATTTTGTTCACATTAGGTAGAAGAAAAGACTGTAGCGCATACAACCGCAACCAGTGCGACGAGACAAGAGCAGAGAGTAGTAACGCAAGAAGTTCGAACAACGAGTCACGTTTTGTCTGGTGAACAGGTAATAGTGCATTTAACGTTCAGTAGCGTACATAGCTCACAACTAATGGTTGAAGCATGTAAGCGTTTATACAGAATACCACATATCATATTTTTGGTTAATACTAACAGGAATCATTAAGATAATGTTACATGTTACGTATATCAGAGTCGATGGAACTAAGGATATTCTTTCAAGTTCCAACTTCTCGAAAATGTACATGATCACTGCACATATACATGTATTTAAATACATTTCCTTAATTTTACGCAAATATGCATACATTCAGGAAACAATAATACTTTACTCATTCATAGTGCTGGTTAATTAATTGAAATTTAACCCACGCTGTTATTTGTTTAATTACTTTTTTTTTTATTTATTTTTGTAATTAATTTTTGCCGGCTTGGTTAACACATTGCATGGTGTAGCTGTTCTCACGAAGGCTCAGTACATCCAGTTCAAGCAGTGATGATTCAGGTACTCCAATTGACCTTGAAGATGATCAGCAGGCTTTCTACAATCAATATTATCAGGTAAATCTTCAGGGATGGTATAATCTTATTAGACAATTATCAAAAACCTTCCGGAAAAGTCTTTATTACTACGAGAATACATTATAATGGAATTTTAAGAATTAATTTCTAAGGTTGGATCTACATTAAGGTACACATTTTCTGTATATACTTTTATCACACAGTATAATACATACTGGAATCATTTGTAAAGTAAATGAAAATTGTCAAGAGGATGCTATATTCCTGTTGATTTGCTTATTTGAAGTATATCATTGTTAAAAATCACCACATACGTAATTAATCATTTCATCTTAGTAATCATTGGTTAACATTCATGGGAATCTAAGAAGTTAACATTCACAAAAACAGTAAAAAGACTTAATATTTTATTACCTCAAAGGCACTGGTTTTAAGGTACTGTCAATTAATACTTCAACTACAAAATAACACAAACTTACAATATTTTATAAAGATTTTGGTTTGTTGTTTATTGTCTAAGTACTCATAGCGCATTAATATATATTTGTATAAAGTGATGTCTTATATTGAATGTATTGTTTATCGTTATTTCTCCTGGAAAAGAAATGCCATTATTTAAATTTTATACAGAATGATCCAGCTGGTGTTGTGGCAACCGAAACACATGTTTATAAAGGAGAACCAGAGAATAATGTAACAACAACTACCACAGTCCCACTAGTAGCAACCGAGACTAGGAAAGTAGCTGTTGAAAGCGACGATGGTTTGTATAGTGCAACGGGAGAAATAGTCAGTTCGCAAACAATATCCAGTAAAACTCGTACCGTTGAAACAATAACGGTAAGATTTTATATCATTAAGGTAAATATTTTCTAGTGCGCATACGGTATTAAATGTGTGCACTATTGTGTGTTTTCAGTACAAAACTGAAAGGGACGGAGTCGTAGAAACTCGTGTAGAACAAAAAATAACGATACAGTCAGACGGCGATCCAATTGATCATGATCGAGCTTTAGCAGAAGCGATCCAAGAGGCCACTGCGATGAATCCAGACATGACAGTCGAGAAAATAGAGATTCAACAACAAACAGCGCAGTAATTGATATAAGAACAATCTTGTAAGAAATAGAGGGCACTCTTTGTCTAAAAGATTATAATGCTGGTAGTTCTAAAGAGTAGAAAATTAAATTGATATTCGCTGTTAATATATTGGCGTGCATTCGAGTAATGCATGAGAAATAATTGGACTGATTATTAATATTGTCAAAATTAATGTACGTCCTGTAAAAATTGGAAAACATTATTTCTTGTAGCAAATGTTGCCCAATACTACGAGCTTGACCTTGATTCAAAATCAAGTCTGTTACAAGAGGAAGCATCGGTGATGTTTCCCTTTGAAAAGTCCCGGTACCTTGTACCATAAACTACAGTGTTCATATTCAAAGTATGTATTTTTTACATACACAAAGACATAAATATATATTATACATATTATGTATACATAGTCATGTATGTACGTGAACAAAAAAAAAAATGATCTGTTCATAGTTATAAAGATAAGACAGAGTGCCCTGTAAACTTACATTACGGTTTTACAGCAGGTAAAGTCATATACACGCGATGTGTCTTGTAACAAGTACATATATTGTGTCACTCATATAAGAATTTGTTCAGCGGTATACTCTAAAGCAATTAACAATACTGAGCTTGATTATCTTTTCTTTCTTCTGCGGACTTGCTTACCGTATCAATTTAAATTTCTATTGCGAAAACTTCATCTGTGAGCCTAATATAACGAAGAACGAAAATAACTTTAATGAGTATTACAGTTAAAAAGTGTTTCGAAAAGTCAAAGATATTTAAAATAGATTAATACACAAATGAACCATACAATTATTATAAACGTATATGTCTAATAAATACAAACGAACAGTATAACAAGCATATTATACATATATATATATATATAAATTACACACATAGTGTAATTTTATGAATCTGTTGATACAAAGGAATTATTCCAACCTGAATATATGAAAAGTAACGGTGGAAGATATATAGTACATAATTGAGAGGCACACAAGAATCATCTCTGACGTCGCTTTCATGCAATACTTTTTTTACACTGATTATTTGTAACATAATTTTTTTTAAATGAATATTACGTGATGTTTATTGTGTGTGACAAAGTCAAAGTTCTTTAAATATAAAATATTAATATATACGGAAAATATTATATGTATATATATGTATCTATATACAGGGTGTCCCATTCGACCCTTTGCACGCAATTATTTGTGAATAACGAACACTTCGGAGGATAATTGCGTGTAAAGGTTCAAATGAGACACCCTGTATATACATGTACACATAAACACTTATGATTACTTGACGAAAAACAGTAGAAATCTACAAAGTTTCCTATAACTTAAAGAGTATTAGTACAAGCAATGTAAAACAGAAAGGAAATACATATTATTTGCATTGCTGTTGTATACAATTTTTATTTAATAATTTAAAATATGCAATTTGGAAACTATGTAGATTTTCTTGAATTATATACTTCACGAATGCTAAGAGTTATAAGTACTAAATACTGATAAGATGATAAATTATATGTATGTAACTTCACACCAAGAGCTATGAAGCATTGGTCAGCGTATGTGTCTAAATTTAGCTGTAACTTTTGTAGTTTTAAGACTACATTGTCAAATAAGATTTCGTTTATTCAATAGTTTATTTAATTTTTTTATGAAGCGCGAGGAATTATATTAAGAAGGAGAAAAGGCTGATAACCTGAATCTACAATAAAAGTATTAAGATTTACATCACCTTTCTTTTTGAAAAAAATTAAGCTATACATGAACAACGTATAAATTTATAAATATTAGAACATACTGCAGCTTCGTATATTTATGTATGAATAATATATATATTGTATATGCGACAATTGTGAAACAGCATTAAAGATATGCATATCACACGGTAGTAGGCTTGTTTATACCTTTGTTCTCTAAAGTATCATTGAAATACCTGTTAATATACATACATATATTACGCTTGCATTTTGCACAAAGCATTTATTTTGTAATGATAAATATTTTCACGTATTAATTATAAACTAATCTTTTTTACTTTTCTACCTTTTACATGAACGTAATTCAATCAAATTTTTATACACCTATTAGTTGTGGAAAACAATAGATTGTAGCTGTTTACTTTTCATATATCTCACTGAAAGTAATTTCTGATAGCAGTCTTATGTTAACATTATACAATAATGTATAGAATCATCATAATTCATCTAGAACAAAGGATAATCATTGACCATCTACGTGCGAACTGCATCTTGTCTCGTAAGTTAGGTCTGTTATACGCTGGCAGCTAATATTTAATACATATATATATATACATATATATATATATATATAGTTCATTAATCTCACCTTATTTCGTAGTGCTAGCCAATATTTTAAGATAATGCTCAACCATTGTATTAATTCTCTTTATGTTCGAACATTATTTGTGAGCACTTCATATATTAAAAGTTTCATAGAACGACTTTAGTGTTCACAGAACGCAGTAAAGTTACAATGAAGAAGAAACTGATTTTCTACTTGTACCTTTTATACCATGTAATTTTATAATTTATACATTTGTTTTTATTGTATCTAACATTCCATGCTTCTAGTGACTAACAAGTATGTACTATAAATGCCTGTGTCATTTAAACCTTATTTATTTAATTCTTTATGAAATTACCACAATTTCATACTAGCTCTGCTTGAAGAAATCGTTGTACGATTTAACTCGGTTTATTACACGAACAAACAATTTCCACATCTTACGCCAGATTCATGTGTTCTTTGCGGATCAGTTTGCGTACAAAACCGAGATTTAAAGGTAATACACGAATCTTCGAGTAGTGTACAAATGTAGTTAATAGTATTTTGTACTTTAATATTTCTGTTGTTCATTTAATGGTAACGTAATAATTATAATATTATATACTTAATATTATACTTTTATAATGTCATACTTATACTGTAATAGTGATCCCTACGCGAGGACATCCGCATTAACTGTTTAATTATGCACGTTCTGTTATATTTCAATTGAACTATTGTTTTACACGCATGAACTTTAACGTTTTTAGTTCAGCTATAAAAATGTTATGTTATATGCACAATCGTATAATACATATGTCGCCTTAGTGCTAGAAAGTTGTACAAAATATTATTGTAATTAGTTTGCCGTCAGCTTTTTACATAGTTTGCCATATATTTTCGTTCGACGCAATTTTGACATACCGATTTTATGTTCACCTTACACACGACTTTCCGGCATGCAGGCAATAATGAATACTTTCCATAGTAGTTATTTAATAGAATATGTATACTATAAAACGACTAAATATGAATGAAAAATATATAATGAATTAAAAATAATTTTTTTAAAAGAAAGAACATTAATAAATAAGAACACATTTAATTGAAATAATCTGTTTCTTTGCATGCATATATGTATAATTTATTGTTGTACCGTTATGAACGTTAATAAGGACAAATGTATTGAATGTTACACAAAAACATTGTTCTTTTATTATATGTTGGAAGATGGTGTAATCGGTGGTAATTTAATAGCTTTGCTCTTTATCAATGATCGCACAACATGAGGCTGCTTGGTCTTCTTAGTAACATTACTCCAGAATGGCCTTGGTGTAATATGACCATGTCTTACAGATTTTGTACCTGGCGCTAAATTAATTTGTAACAATAAATTTATAATTAATAGTGTTTACACGTATTACAAGAAATGAACTGGTTCTTGTGTGAATCTACCTGTTTTCCAAGCTGGAAATATTTGTGGTTGCATGTCACAAATAGCTGAGGAAATAGTGATAGATAATTTTGGACCAGAGTGTTGAAACATTGCTCTGGATATTGATTTCTTCAGCGCGGGCGGTAGGTTCAGTGAGCCTAAAGGACGATTCATCATAAAAAAATTATACATATATCGTAAGGAATATTGAAAACAGTACTTGTAATATCTTCGTCTAATGTAGCCCTAGAAGACTTTTTGTTACGGTAAAGATGCTTCTCTATTTTGAACTTTTTCATAAAACATCGACATACATCTGTTATTGTTTTGCCATTGAAATTGCCTGTGGATAAATTCAAATTGGCATAAAATACAATTGTACAATTGAAAATTCTGAGCATAAACATACTTATGGTATCATTATTGGCAATAAGATTTTCTTTGTATCTGTAATGCTGAGTTACAGGATTGCCTTGCAGAGATAAGTCTTTTAAAGAAATTAAGGCACTTATAATTTCAGTTAGATCTTCAATATCATCCAATAAGTTCTTTCTAGCATCTAAAATTTCTAACTTGTGTAAGTTCTTGATATCCTTCAGAGATGTCATTTTATTACCAGAAACATTCAGTACTTGCAAGGAAGTCTAAAATAATATGAAGAATAATTTCTCATTTTATAAAGACGCGGAATTAAAATGTTATATTGTTGAACACTTACAGATAAAGTGTCTATACTTCGTGGATCAAAACACAACGTTTCACCAAGACTCAGATTTTGATTCTGTATGTCTAGTGTAGTTAAGTTTTTCAAATATTCGAGTCCTTCCACTACAACTATATTGTTGTATGCCAAATAGAGAGTTTGAAGGTTTTCAAGGGACTCTAAATTTTCTATTTTTCTGATCACGTTGTGCTGCAGATAGAGATGAGTCAAGTTGGATGCAAAGTGCAAATTTTCTATAGCTGATATATGATTATTTTGTAAATATATTACTTTTAAGTTTTTATAATCAGCAATATTACCCTGCGACAAAGATAATTGTGCGTTCATCATAATTAAAATTTAATTAATATTGCTACGATTCTACATAGATATCTTACAATGCTGCTTATAAACATATTATTCATACGCAAATGAGTTGTGCTGTATAATTCTCGTTTTTTTACTTTCTTGCTGCAGGATTTATTTAATTGTGCCTGAGAACATTTTTTCTCGATATATTCGGGACTTAGTCTCACCATGATTCTGAAATTTCATTAAACGACTAATATAATTGAAGTTTCACAATGGATTCATGATTGACTGCGAATGTTCATGGAAACGTAAATTATTATTGATTAATCCACAGAAATTGAAATCAGACAAAAATTTTTATTTTAATAAGAGTCGTATCAAGGTTCAAATAAAATAAAAACTTCATTAAACCGTATACAACAGTATATTGTAAATCGTGTATAATATAAATACATGAAATCTGTAGTCTATTGATCAAACATCGGTTAGAATGGCGCGGCTTTTGCACGTGGTTAGGGTTGAATCGATACTTTTACTCATAACTAGAGATGGCGTGCAAAATCACTAACGGTGATTTATCACAGTGATCGCCGAATCACGATCACGATCGTGATTTAACTTCATTCACGACCGTGATTGCGATTTTTTTATCTTGAGTGAATTTGCTCACTGCAATCGTAAGTCATTAATCTTTAAACAGAAAAACGTATTTAATATGATTTTACGATGAATTACATTACTGTGTTTGTAAAAATCAGTAGAAAAAACAAGAAATTCTAAAATAATGATTTGCTAGGTAACATGTAGATTGTAATTTATAATCATTAATTTATTCATTATTCTTCATTGTTTCTAATTATTCTTTCACTTTATACGATATAACTCGAATTTTTGTTTTGATGTCGTTAATATAAAATATACAGATTATGTGTCGCGTGTAAAGAACTGTTAGGTTTCTCCACCAATCAGAAACGATCACGAGAAATCACGAATCACTGTGAAAAATTACCGTGATTGAGAACGAACGCGATCGAATCACGAGTCATTCACAAGTAGCAGTTCACATCATCTCTAGTGAGAACGTGAAGTCACGGAGGCCCCGGTGGAGGCGCCATTGATCACGTAGGGTGAGAGCGTGGGGTCACGGAGCCCCCGGTGGAGGCGCTATAGACCCTGCATGGCGGCCTCGGTGGAGGCGCCATTGATCACGTGGGCTGAGAATGTGGGGCCACGGAGCCCCCGAAGCATGCTGAAGAGACCCCGTGTGTGTGAGTTGTATGATGTACAATTAGAATTTCAACGATTTATAAATAAAAGTACACACGGCTGAACTCAACGATAAATTTATTAATAAA